AACAAGACTAAGACTTTATGATTTTTTGGTCCTAAATAAACTTCTATTATAAGATTTGATAAAAAATATAAAGAGAGAATAAAACCTTTACTAGGTATTATACAAGATTCTAGCCATACTCTCTTTATTAAAACTAGAGAAATTTATTTTTTGGCACATTGTCCTCTTTCACCACCATGCTCCTCATTTTGTAATTACATTTCTCTTTGGACTATATTAAGTAATGTACTTAGATTCTCTATAATATAGATATGAACCTTCTTGACAATAATGTTGAGGTAGAAAGAGTTTGCCTTAAGAAAGCGTTGAGCTTTTGGTTGTCACTAAATGCTCAACTAAGCCTCTAGATAAAAGAAACACCAAGTCTATATATAAAATTATCTCTATAGGGGCAATTACATCAATACATAAGCCTTAAGTACCAAAGATCACAAAAAATGTGATAAAAATATCATAAAAAACTTCTATATCCTTAGAGTAAATTATTTCCAAACTTCAACAGCTTATATGTTACGATTGGACCATCCAAGAAAACCCAAATTTTACATGAAGTACTGATGTATTTTTGACAACTACCACAACAAATTTTAATCATAAATTCGTTACAAATCTTGACATATTGCCAAAATTCTAACAATAACTTCAAACCCTTGCTTACATACACCCATGTGCTAATTTTTTTATATCTCACAAACTAATTATTCAAATACCATAAAATTTTGATATATAGCTTTTGAATTCAATGATACATAATTTTAGAAATTTTTAGCTAAAAATTCATTTGAAAACTCATGATATGGCTCCAACCATTACTATCAATAAAACAACTTACTTATTACCTCTAAATTACATATATTGTCTCAATGCTCTATAAATTCTTCATACAAACTCCAAATGCAAAAATTCCTTTACGAAAGATATAGATCTTAAAATCATCTTTGCAGCTGTACTTCTTGATCTCCAAAATCTATCATAAGACTCCTTATATTTTCAAAATAGCAACAGTATATCTTAAACAACACTTTAACTTCAAATGATTAGAACTTCATCACTTTAACTCTAAATCCTCTAAAATTTTCACACAAATTGTAGTCCAAATTCTAAAGCTTACAATCCTTTCTTTTGATTGTCAAATGCCCCTTCTAAAGTTGCCAAAATCCTTGTTATGGACGTGGACAGCTTGCTAAATGCCTATTGGATATGTCTTTCAACCAATAGGAATAAAGATCTTTACCTTTTGCCTTCATCCGACCATGCCTTGATTTCATCCCTCTCCATAAGCCTCTTAGTAGTTTAGATTTTCATCCTTAGGCTTCCACCTTCTCTTAAAGCTCTATATTAAACATCTAAATCTTATGTAATTTAAATACTATAATAAAAATAGATAAAATTTAAAATAAAGTTTTTTACATCCACTTTCTTTAAATTAATTTACTAACCATTTTAACACACATCAAGACTTGGTCTTTGCTACCCTTTCTTAATTATTTTTTTTAAATGTAATTGTAAATACTTCCAAGAATAAATTTAAGTCATAAAGTAATTGTGAATCTTTTTCTATCAAAGGTACAAACCAGAAGAGAAAACTTCCTAATAGAAGTGCACATGTGAATCTAACTTGAGTAAATCCATCAAGGTTTTAGAAAATATGAAACCTCAAATAGAACTTAACTTGTTGCAAAAATTCTCAAAATTTTGATTTTGTTCTATCAAACTTCTCAAGCATATTAATCCTTATTTCTTTTGACCCTATAAAAGCAAGACTTTTTAAATTTGGTTCTAAGGCTAATCTACTTTCTTCCTTCAATTACATAATTTTTTGGCATAGACTTTAGACTTCTTCTATATATGTAGGAATAGTACTTCTATGATTTACATTAGAAATATGTAAGATTTCTTCTCTTAAAGTATTGACAAGTTCAGGAAGATCTGCAATAGTTGCAAATCTATTCTCACTTTTGTTGAGAGTATCATCTATAATCTTTTCTTCCATAGACAACTCAAATAGCTTCAAAAAAGTTAAATTAGAAGAAGATAATATGCAATCTTTAATATCAAATGAAAATTTCTACAAAGTGAGATAATCTATTTTTTTTAAGAAAAAAATTAGTATTAAAAACTAAATTATTTGTTTACAGGTATACAACCTTCAAAACAAAATAATAGAAGTGGAATAATCTTTTTACTTCTAAAACAAGACAAAAATAATAAATTAGTATTCTTGTCAAATTGTCAAGAATATTAATCTGAAAAAAGAAAATCTCAATATATTATTATGTCACTAAAAAAGTTTAAAAAATTACTTAAATATTATAATATATTGAATTAAAATGGCTATTGCCAAAGACAAGAAGACTAGAATGTCTTGTAATAAGATTAAGGACTAAAAAGACATTAATAAGAGTGAAGAAGGCTTCACTCTTGCTTCTATATATACTCTCTAAATAAGAACTATGTGGCAATATGCTATAGGACCTCCAACATGTGTTGACTTTGTTAGACACATGTCTTAACTTGCAAGGTAAGTTCTCTATATGTGAGCCACATAGTTAGCTTTTTCCACAAGCTACTAATACATGTGATACATGGTTAATTTGCTGATCAAGTTTCTAGCCTACTAATTAATTACAAATACATGTAAAGTCAAAGTAGCATCTATGAAGCTTCTAGAACGCTATTCTAGGAGATATTAAGAAATTAATCTATTTCTATTCAATCATATAAGTAATTATTGGAATAAATATGTATATCTGTGACACTAATGTTTGTATATATTTACATATATATATAATCAAGGTTTTATCTATAAAAAACAAAGATGATTTTATATTTTAATTATTTTTGTTAAAATTAATTTTAAAATAATTCATATATATATAAATATAAAATACTTAAAAATTATTATAAGATCTATTAGTTTTTAAAGTATTTAATATGAAAATATTATCTTATTTATTTATTCATACTCAATGCATATAAAAACTATGAAATTTGGATATTATGAAGAAAAATCACTCATTCTTGCATGTAAATTACACCTATGTAAATAAAGTTGAATTAAATTAAATAAAAAATTCACCTTTTTTTAAATAAGATAGATTTCTTGTAGTATTTTTATACACAAGTTTTACATTCCTTTTTAGCCATAGTTGTTTTTAACATTGTGCAATCAAACATAAAAAATATAAAAAATTATTGGATTTTTAAAATTTTCTTACTTTTAAAATCTAGATGTACAAATCTATAGCTGATTTCATTAGCATTTAAAAGTGAAGTAAAGTATAAAATTTGGATACAACACTATGCTTTTGAATTGACTATTAACTCTATTGGATTACAGTATTATATTTCATGATGTAGTAATCTCATCAAAATGATTTCAATGTAATTTCCACCAAATATGTTTGAATTTATCATGTCATTTTAGATTTGATCTACTAAGATCATATGTTATTAGTTGAACATCCATTTTCCCAGTTGATGAAATAACACACTTAAAATGCAAACTTCAAACATGAACTGCTTTAAATCATAATACACACACACAGACACAGTCTTCTTCATTCAAAGTCGCCACAAAAGAAAATCCACATACAATTCTTCATTCGAATCCACATCCAATTTTATCAATAACCAAACAACCCATAAAAAAAAAGTGGCAAACTTTGGGAGCACAAACCCAATTTATAGCATTCCACAAAAATATCATCAAACCTCATTTATTCGCCGTTTGTTAAGATCACACTTAAAATGAGACGATATTTCATATATTCAAATGCGTGCATATATACATATATATATATATATATATATACATAAATGAAACGAAAGGACCCATTCTGTAGAGGATTATATCGGAAGGGGCTATTGTAACGGCATTCAAAGCCACGTCCTTTCAGAATCAAAACACTCCTCTGATTACTATTATTCTTATTGTTATGAATAGCAGTGATTGAACATGGACTTACTCGGAGTTGAGTTGAGTGCTCTCATAACATAATTTCATATTTCTTATATATATAATATTTGTTCCTCCCACCCCCCCAACTCATTCGACTTCTGTTCGAGAGTATAGAACACAAATACCTCGTGACAATCAATCACCTCCGACCCATTTAGCCAAGGTTTCAAACCCATAGACCCACCGCCCTTTTTGTATATATGTATATATAAATATTTTTTTTACCAAATCTACTCCAAATAATGTAATCAGGCCATGCGAGTAACCCCTACAACTTTTTCACCTTCGGAAGAACGAGACCTATGCTACTATCACGCTAAATCCGACTTTTCCCATGAGAAAAATCCAACACTCTTTATTCATCGAGCAAAAACGAAAAATATATATAAGAAAAAACAAAACAAAGAAGTGCGGAAAAGAAAAAAAGAAAGAGGAATGCATGAAGGAATTGATGAGCCAGCGTCACTGATCCCAACCCTGACAGACAAACGCCAGTTGTAATTCGGCAACGACAACAACAACAACAGCACAATCCCACGGTGTTCCTGCGGATTGGAATGCGGTTGGGTGATCTTCAGCGTTGCGATTAAAACAGTAAAGAGTGGATAAAATTTACGATGGCGGGAGGAGGAGGAGATGGCAGAGAGAGGGGTTGCAGCAGGATGGCGGCATTGATGGCAACGTTGGACGCAAGAGCGATCTTTTGAAAGGGGCGAGAGAGCTTTGGACCGAAACAGCAGCGGCGTCGGAAACCTGGCCTTCAATTCTCAATTGGCGTGGCAATTACTGGCGAAAGGATGTGAACAATTACTGGGTGGCGATCTCGATGTGGGTCCTGCTGCTGTAATGGGTGGGTTTAATTCTGGAGACTTTTTGGTTGCGCGACAGATCGTATTTGTACAAGTCAACCGGTACAACAACAACAATAACAACAACACCATCAACTTCATCAGCAGCAACAACAACAGCAACAACAACAGCAACGCATGAATGACTAGTTTTTCGTTTGCGGTGAATGATATGTTGTTGTTGTTGGTTTTCGGCTTGGAGAGGACGCCGGACATTCTTTGATGCATCGGTGGTGTTTGGATGAGAAAAATATGAGACCGCGGGAGTTAAGGCCCGGGTGTCGAAGGGTGTTGAGATTTTCCGCAACGGCTTGTCCCGGCAGACACGGACGGCGACTCGCGGAAGGGGAATGGAGGGACGGCTCCACTTTCGAACGGAAGCTTGGTCTTGTATCCTCCTCCATCGCCGTCGCCTCGCAGCCACTGGAGTTTTCCCACTCCAGCTCCAGTTTGATTCGATGAGCGCGGGAGAGAGATGATGGTGATGATGATGCGGGGAGTGAGTAGAGGTGAATGTTGTCGCTACTGATACAGCAACCCTGTGCTTTGTGTGCCATGCTTTCTGTCACTGAGACGGATCAGCCCCGGCCTGTTGTCTGCGTGGAGTTTGGATCGATGGCGTGTGGTGATTAAGGTGGGGAGGTGCAACGGTTGGCGTGGATTGTAGAGAAGAGGCGACGTGAGTAGTGTTCTGAGTGATGGGTGTTGGTCGGATTGTGACGTCGAGGGGGATGGTGCATGGAGGAGTTGTGGGATTTGGGGGGTGAGAGTTTGTGACGAGAGCTTCCTCGATGGATGGGTTGGGTTGGAAAGAGAAAGTGACGATATACTGTGTTTTAGTGATGTTATGTAGGGTGTGGTGAAGGCGTGTGGTGGACGAGAACGGTGTTGAGGTTGTGGAATGAGAGAAATTGGAGTGCTAGAATACGGAGAGATGTTGTACACTGGGGAGCTTGATGAGTTGTTCCGTCTCCCCGCGGTGAAGACGGGAAGATCAAGCAGTCCGTCGCTGCCATGCTCCAACGCTAGCAGTCAATATGGCCTGCATTCGCAGAGGAGTGAATTGGGACTGTCGGGGAGCCCGTCGCATCGAGGTGGTATGAGTGGGAACAACCGTGTGTTGTTGCCGGGGAAGTTTGTGCTGAAGAAAGGCCTGGAGCCGTGGTCGACCGTAGAGAGGAGGGGCGAGCAGCTCTCCAGCACGGACCCCGCTGGCTCCCCGAGCTTTCGAAGAGCGGGCACCACGATGTGGCCGGACAAGACCTCGACAGCATGCGAGGCTGAGACGTCCACTGGGCAGTGGACGAGCCCTCGTTGTGGAGAGGATCCTCGTAATGAGGGCGATTTGATACATTTCCACCAGCACCAGAATCAGAGTACGAGCAACAGTCCGTTGTGCCCCGGTACTCCAATCAGACATCATTATTCTCAGATGGCACCTTCGTCTCCACTGCAGATTATCTCTTCCCCGGATGTGAAGAAATGCATTGCTCCGATGTCCGAGCCCAGGTCTGTGCTTGACCTAACTATCAGTCCGCAGCAGCATCAATTACCCACCATCCGAGCCACTCTTCCGCGCCGCTTTCGAGAGACTTTTCTCGAGCACAATGTGGCACCTGTCACCGCACCCAGCTTGAGCCCCTCCCCGCGCGTGCTGAACTTCGAGAGTTGTAGTAATGGCAGCACTAAGAGTGGAACCTTTGCGGACCAATACGGTCCCAGCCCAACCAATGCCAGTACTTGGGCGCCAGATCTTGCGACACAGGGCTATCCGACCTCTATCCCTACCCACAAGGTAGAGGAGCTTCCCGTCTTGCCCACCGCACAGAGCTTTATTCAGGAAACATCAAGCCTGGATGAATGGGAGGCGGCCACTATAACGTCCCCGCAGCACAAGCTTCGTGCTAAACAATGGATGGTGTCGCTGATGGAGGATCTCCGAAACGCAGAAGATGCGAACAGCGCCCAGGAGACTGAAGAATGCACGACTCCTTTTACTCCCGGCGTCGATTCCTGTGCTCCATATTTTCTGACTTCCCAGAATGGTCTCGGCTCTCCCTGCCCCAGTGATTACACGGGCGATGATACTCCTCGTGGCAGTAGATTGGAGCACTTGCAGGTGGAGAGCCCTTGTGGTACTCCTCGTGGTGGTGGCGATGGCGAAGACGCGCAAAACTCTCCTGTCATGGTGGGCCATGAGCTCGTCACCCTTCTCATCGCGTGTGCTGAAGCTGTCTCTACCCAGAGCCTAAGCCTGGTTAATCATCTCCTGCAAAAGCTGGGCGAGCATGCGTCCCCCCAAGGTACTGCCATGCAGCGAGTTGCTGCATACTTTACAGAAGGATTAGCATGCCGGGTTGCCCATCTTTGGCCGCACGTCTACCAGCCCCTCCCAACTCACTCTAATCTCAATGACGAGCAACTCCAGACAGCGTTCCATCTTCTCAACCACGTCGTGCCTTACACGAAATTTGCGCATTTCACTGTCAATGATATAATCTTGCAGGCTTTTAACGGCGCTGACCGCGTGCACGTCATCGATTTCGACATCAAGCAGGGTCTGCAGTGGCCAGCGTTGTTTCAGAGCTTAGCTGAGCGGGAATGTGGCCCGCCCTCACACATCCGCATCACAGGTGCAAACTCCTTCACTCTTTCCTCGCCTGCTTCCTTCCAGTGATGCTATTTGGTGAATCATGAATGCAAGGATCTGTGAAGTAATCTCGTAATAGCATCGTTCAGTGGCGTCTAGCCTATGACGGGCAAGGAAGATTGTCTACCTGTAACTCTGTGTTGCTATCTTGAATCATCCTTTTCTCAAGGCAACATGTACGTTCAAAGTTTGTAACAAATCCCTAGTCTCAGCACTTGTGTTTTGATTAGGCAACCGGTGCCTTCGTACTCGTAAGGTGTTTATATTTGGGAAGAAGGTTAACATTCCGTGTTGCATTTTACTTTCCCTTGCTAATATGTCCCCCTGATATCTTACTTATCCTAGTCTTCCAATTTGTGAGTAAATTCTCCATTTAGTTCCTTGTTTCTCGCACAGGAATTTAGCATGAAACGTTGCTAGGTTGAAATTGAGATGTCTGTGTTTTCGAAGATCAGTATTTCATCAGGCAATTTAATCTAGCAAGATGTTCCCGTCACTGAATCTCTGGCGTATGGTTTTAATAGGAATTGGGGAATGCAAGGATGACCTTCTGGAGACAGGTGATCGGCTAGCAGAATTTGCCGAGGAGTTCAACATTCCCTTCTCCTTCCATGCGGTTATAGATAGGCTTGAGGATGTGCGATTGTGGATGCTGCACGTGAAGGAGAACGAAGCAGTTGCTGTCAATTGTATCTCTCAGTTTCATCGGTTGCTGTATGATTCCGGGGAAACCATTAAAGATTTCTTGAATCTGATTGGGAGCACCAAACCTAGGGTGGTGGCCATTGTTGAGCAAGAAGGGAGTCACAACAGTCCTCACTTTGAGGGCAGGTTCTTAGAGTCCCTGAAATACTATTCTGCAATTTTTGATTCTCTGGAAGCCAATCTTTCAAGAGAGAGTTGCGTCCGTGTCCAGGTGGAACAGCTATTTGCTCTTGAGATTCGCAACATCCTGTCGTGTGAGGGAGCTGAAAGAGTTGAAAGGCATGAGGATACCGCAAGGTGGAGCGTACTTTTGAGCCAATCTGACTTTGTCAATGTGCCGCTTGAAGACAGTGCTAACACCCAGGCTCAAATTCTCCTCCGCATGTTTGATTCCGATGGGTACACATTAACAGCGGAGAATGGTTCGCTTACTCTTGGATGGGTGGAGCAACCGCTTCTCACTGTATCAGCTTGGAAACCTGATAAGGATTTTGTTCTCACAGGGAAAAGTTTGGTCACCAATGAAAAACAACAGGCTGTGTGATCATTGCATGATATGCTCCAAACCGGTATGATTCAGGAGGCCTGGAAGAGGGGAAAGCTCTGGTCAGTCTTACATTCTTGTACAGCAATTAAACGAGTTCATGCTGGCATTGAGGTCTTCGATACGAGGTAGTCTAGTAGTTGTAAATTCAGTTGCAGTACATTTTTGAAAGCTTGGAACTGGTTTACTTATCTTCCGCGGGTCAATTTGTGGTGGCCGTCAGGAACGAATTCTTTGACAACTGATCAACCTTCAAAGCAATTGTACAGCCCTACTCAACGTTATCTCGACTTCATTGAAAATCTTATAGTGAAAATGTCGGGGCGAGATTATTCTCATCGATCCATTTGATGAGCAATATTACCATTAGCGACTAGCTGCGCTATTACTATTTTAATGAATCAGTAAAAGTGTGTAGTGCAGCTGGCATGATCTTACTCACATACCACTTATCTGTTACACGATTCATTCTCAATCGCTGAAGCTAGGCCACTATATGTTGCTGTTTTTCTTTTATCTCCCAACTCCAATCTCGGTAACTATGGAGTCGAGGTGCTTGGATAATGAAGTACCGTTTACCAGTATGCGTTGCACTGATGAACCAAACCGAGAAAAGGAGAGGATTGGGCCTTCTGTGCTAATACCCGAAGTTTTGTAGTTCCAAGGTAGTGAAACGTATGCCTGATACCGTAAATGATATGTATTGAAGGAAAAAATTATCATCTTTGAGCGTATTGAGGAATCTGTGTTTCAGAGCCTTTTTCATGACCCATTTTGGAATGTATTTTTACTGTAATCTTAAAAGCGTAGGGGAGGAGCATTATTCTTGTCTACAACCTGTGAAAATATTTCACACTGTCTACTCGACATCCACATTTACGCATGTAAGCTGTGTCTGACCGTAACTTCATGTGCAAGAAGCTACACTCAGGCTCAATGATACTGTCGTCCGTCTCAATTATAAAAACTTATCGTTTGTCTCTATTTGCAAAGTAGCGCTCAATTACATATATAATAGTCAAACTGTTGACAATTATTGGAAGAATCTGAAATTGTGTGACGTTTACGTTATTACATTATTCACATTCACAAATCTGTTCACATCTCACTCTATTTTATCTTTGTTTGTTAAACTTATGTTACACATTTGATTTGTAAAACTTATGAAAAAGGTGTGATCATACATTGAGGCTTAACATGTATTTATCACCAAAAAGAATATAAAAAAATGGCATTTCTAATGGTATAATTTAAGCCTATGTTCTTAAGCTGATTTGATAAACTAAATACATGCAATCTCATTGTACACTTGTTTCATGCTCTTTCAGAAACCTAGAATATTGTCAATCCCAACCTCCCTTCTCCAAACAAATCCAAGGTTGCAAGAAAAGAATTGACAATATTCATTTAAGACATTATATATATATGTATATATATATACATACATACACATACATATATACATATACATACATACATACATTAGTCTTTTTTAATTTGCACCTACCCTAGTAAAAGGTTTAGAGAAAATTGTCGAAGTCAATATTTTTGAAGCATTCCCAAACCTCCCAAACTACCACCACCACCATCATCGTCAACCACTATTCTTTGTATTCATTTTTTTTTCTTTTTCTTGTTGCTATCTTGTTTGTTTGTTTCTGTTTTGTTTTATCATCACATTTACCATTGGATTAGAGAATATTTACAATTAGAATACCTTATATTAGAAGTTATGTGGATATAGTAATAAGGCTAAGATTTGTTTCTAGAACTGTGGGAGATTTATGGAATAGATAAAAGAAAAAAAATAAAAGAAAAAATAATGAATGGATATACTTTGACAATGGGGTTGAAGGAGATGTACAAAAACCAAGTCTGTATAAGTATATGGTTTCAAAAATCAAAGTTAATCTTAAAGTAAGCTTTGACATTGATGTTTTGTTAGTTTAAACAAAATATTTAATTCTACATACACCATTTTTATAAGAGTATTTCAAGTCATACTTCAATTGATTGGTTCATGCATTGTAGAAAAATAAGAGTTTTAGTAAATATAAGCAACAATCAGGAGAAAATATGTAGTAGAGGTTAAATAATACAAAAAGATATGAAGAAATTTGAATAAAGAAAATATAATCAATAGCAAAGATTGCATAATTAACAGATGTTTGGCAAAATTGAGCAAGATTCAATTAAGTTATTTTTAGCTTGTTTTCCATAGCAGACAATCAAAAGATTAGAAAAAAAAATTCTTAAATATATTTGATAAAATAAAAAATTATTGGTGATTGTTGGCAAGCCTATAGTAATAAATAATTTGCACAGTTAGACTATTTTTACCAAAAAGTGAACCATCGTCATTCTTTTGTTGTGATCCAAAAATTAGAACAGACACCAACACCATTGAAAGAACATAGAATGCAATAAAAATATGTCTTTCAAGATATGGCATTTTCATACACCATTATGAAGGATATTTTGCAAAATACAAATAAAAAATAAATAAAAAAATAAAATAGACATCTTAAAATGGTATTTTAAATTCTAAATGACCACATTTTAAAACGTAATTAAGATTGGTAGAATATATATATGTATAAATGAGATTTTTTATTTAAAATAATTATTGTAGAATAGAAAAAATAATTTTTAATTTCTGAAAAACAGTAAGTACTAGTGCATATATTATACATGTATAAATTTAATTACTTAAAAATTCTTGGAAAATGATCAATTCCTTAACTATTAAACTAACTTAGTATCTAATGAAGGATAGAAAATACTCTCTAATTTTATAAAGTATCTAAAAATAGTTATTTTTATATTTATAATATCTCTATTTCTATAAATATGTAATTTTATTTTAATACAAAATTTTAAAGTAATATTTTAAATATCTATTAATAAAAATAATTAAATAAATTTCTATTACAATTTTAAGAATGTTTTTGAAATTTTAATAAAAATTAAATTATAAAAGTATAAGAGGTATATATATATATATATATATATATATAAAACTTAAAAAAAAATCTTAATGTTTGGAAGATTTTGAAGATTGTTTATATATTCTAAAAGGACCGACACGAGTTTGTGTTCTTCAACTCCCTCATGATTTCTCAACTGCAAGACATTTTGGATTTAACAAAACATTGAAGCTTATTTCTCAAGATTTTTAGTAGCCTCAAATATGGAAGATTGTGAAGGACTTGGTCTTCTTGTGTGATATTTTTTCAAAATCCAAAGATTTTAAACATCATTCTTATGGACTTCTATAGCCACTACCAATGCCAATGCATCCATAGTCTTTAGTCTTAATGGATTTTATCACTGATCTATCACCATCAGCTACATTTGATATTATCTATATTATTGTGGATTGACTTACAAAGATGGCACATATTGTTTCATGCAAAAAGATAATTTTTGGAGAAGAAACAATAAGACTCTTTTTTGATAATATATATTAGTATCATAGCCTAACTAATGATATTATTTTTGATTGAGGACCTCAGTTTATATCAAAGTTTTAAAAATCTCTTTTTGATATATTAAACATGAATATCAAACTTTTCTTTTAACTTCCATCTTTTAATCAATAGTCAAACAAAACAAGTCATTCAAGTTTTAGAATAATATTTATAATATACCATCAATTATCAATAAGATGATTGGACCTTATATTTATCTTTAGTAAAATTTACTTATAATAATATTTTTCATGCTTTGACTCAATAAACACCATTTTATACCAATTATAATTATCAATTATGATTACCATTTGAAGCTTGATTTTTTAAGTAAATCAAAGGATGAAAATCTAAGTACTAAAGATCTTGAAAAATAATTTTTATACCTCTAATTAAATTTCTTAACTATTAAACAAACTTAATATCTAATGAAGAATAGAAAATAGTCTCTAATTTTATTAAATATCTAATTTATTTATTTTTATATTTATAATATTTTTATTTATATATATATATATATATAATTATATATATTTAATATCTATTAATAAAAATAATCAAATAAATATCTATTATAAGTTTAAGAATTTAAAAATTATATCAATATTTGGATTTATCTTAGATTTTACATTGTTGCAAGTTTCTTATAATTTCAAATGGCCTATTGTCAAAATGATAACTTAAAGATTATTATTTATATGTCTATATTTATGAATCATAATAATTATTTATTTTGTTAAAGAATGTGCTATTAGTTAAATTTGTTAAGAAAATAACTAATTTTCATAGAGGATATTAAATTAATTTTTTATAATTAATTATTTAAATTTAAATAGAGGATATTAAGATAATTTTTTGAATAGTAAGTCAATATTTAATTGATCATCTTTTTGCCTTTGAAATTTTCTCTTTAAAATATGGTACACTATCTTTAATGTTGAAAATAGCTTCTTGACTAATTTCCTCTCATTCTTCTTCCATCTTCTTTCATAATTCTAACATTTCAAATAGTTGTGTTGATCATGCATTCATATAATATTTGAGATGCTCCTTTAAGCAGGTTTATCACATGCTCTTTTTAGATATTTTTATCTTATACCAAAAGATAAAGATATTCTTTTGATCAAGAACAAACAATTCTTTTAAAACCAAAGTAATTTCATCTTTCAGTAATAAAATTGACATTGACTTTTGATTCAATTTTTTTAAGTAGATTTATTAAAGTATGTTATTAGATCTTCATGCTCAAAATATTAAATTAATCTATTTAAATCTTATGATATTTTTAAGTTTGAGTTCAAAAATAATTTATTCTATTTCAAGAAATGCTTACATGTTGTAGAAGGTTAAGTACAATTACATGGTCCTTAAGCTTATCATGGCTTTTAGCTGCAGGATATTTTAGATATAATAAGACTTTGAAATTCATATCATGAGATTTTTGGTGGCTTCAAATCTAAAATGTAGTTAAAGCTAATGTAGAATCATGTGATATTTTTCAAGATTAAAAACTCCTTTTCATCAAGTTTATAGATGTTTCTAACCATTATCTATAAAAAAACAACCATAGTCTTTTTTTTTAATAAATTTTATAATAGATCTTTAAATTTGAAGCTTATATGACTTTATGTTTGTAATAATAGATAATTTCATTAAGATAGCATATTCTATACTATGCACAAAATCTATCACAAGTAAAAAAACAACTAAAGTTTTTCTTTAGTATATTTATTGCTATTATGGATTACCAAAAGATATTATATTAGATAGAAGAAATTAATTTGTATTAAAATTTTAGAGAATCTTTTTTAAGATATTAAAAAAAAATATAAAACAATCTTTGGATTTTCATCCTTAAAATTATGAATAAATTGAATAGGTGAATCAAGTTTTGAAGCACTATTTGAGATATATCATCAATTACCATCAAGATGATTGAATAATTCTTTAATAGTTGGCAAAATTTTATTATAATAATATAATACATTCTTCTATTAAACCAATACCTTTCAATATTAATTATAGTTATCATCTATAATTTGATACTTTTGACTTTTAAAAAATCAATAATTCTATAGAAGAAGATTATTTTTTTTTTTAATAAAAGATATATGAAATAATAAAGACATAATTATAAAAAGAATAAGAACAATAAAAAATCAATGTAGATGCCTATTACAAGGACCAATATCAATTTTATATTGATAACAAGATATGATTATTTTGTTGTAATATCAAGACTAGTCATTTTCATGACAAGTTGGATTATCAT